AGTGGGGGTAAAATTCGTCAAAAACTGCTAATATGAACCTTCATAAGAAAATACATGGGATTTTGGCGTGATACGCCCATAGCATATCTACTGCCGACCAAATTTTCAAAAAATAATACATTCGCGCCAAATTTGGTATACGGGGGTTTCCGGGGTCACTGATTACAAATCCTAGATCAGATTTACAAAATTCGTATAGCAAATTTGACGCGAATGTGTTATATTTTTTTTAATTTGGTCGGCCACTTTGGATCCGCCATCTTGAATTTTGCAAAATTGACCTCGGATTCGTGATCAGCGACCCCGAAAACCCCCGTATACCAAAGGGTCTCACCGGGTTTCCACGTGAAATCTGCACTGGCGTGTTTTTTAACAATGGTGTCTTCAGTGTGTTGCTTGTTGATAGAAATAACTTTTGACCAATTATCAGAGCTCTATCTTTGCTCATTTAAAAAAAAATGGGGTTGCAACCCTTAACTTCAAAATCATTTTTCTATAAAACTATGATAGATATTTGAATAAATCCAACGGCATATGAAAGCTACTGATAAGAATTATATTACATATTTTTTTCATAGTTTTTCAACTATATAAACAGTGAGAAAAAAAAATGGAAAAAATGAAGGGTGGTTTTTTGTGGTTATTTCTCGAGATACACCAACCAAAAGAATCACGTATAATCAGTGAGTCTTAAGCTACAATGCATAGCAGTTACATAGATCTGCGATGGGTGGATCATATTCAAAATAATCATTTTATGTTGCTAGGTACAGTATTGTGAACTGATACTTGTTAGAACTTTAGAATATACCACGACAGTGATGTGTGAGATCTTTGTGAAGTTGCAATATTTGTGTAAGTTTTAACTGACGTATTACACTTACAGATGTTATATAAAAAGATATCGGTATCCGATTTTGTCATAATTAGTCTGAAAATTAAATCTTTATAGTATGCCTGTAGACTCACAATGGTACGAATATTGTATCCCAATGTCACCTTGGAACAAATGGAACAAAATCAATTGCGCGTGCGCAAGCTAACAGCTGATCCAGTCAAGCAGAGGTTAAGTTCTACATTGTTCATGGGTGAATGATTCGTTTCTATATTTTAAAAATAATTATAAATAAATATTAAATATGTGACCGAAGATTTTATTGTATGTTGAAAATTAAAAAAATCATTATTGTGAAGACTGGTTAAAATATTCGACATTACATATATGTACTTTTCACATCAATTGAAGCTATAATAAGGCTAGAGAGTATAATATTCGGTTGGATATAATTTTGCATATTTTTTATTTTGTTAAAGCCTTTATATTATTGTAAAATGGAAGACAATAGCGGTATACAAAATAAATGTATTAACTGTAATCGAAATAAAAAAAAATTTGTGGGATTTTCCAACATTATATCTAACTGAATATTATACTCTCTAGCCTTATTATAGCTTCAATTGATGTGAAAAGTACATATATGTAATGTCGAATATTTTAACCAGTCTTCACAATAATGATTTTTTTAATTTTCAACATACAATAAAATCTTCGGTCACATATTTAATATTTATTTATAATTATTTTTAAAATATAGAAACGAATCATTCACCCATGAACAATGTAGAACTTAACCTCTGCTTGACTGGATCAGCTGTTAGCTTGCGCACGCGCAATTGATTTTGTTCCATTTGTTCCAAGGTGACATTGGGATACAATATTCGTACCATTGTGAGTCTACAGGCATACTATAAAGATTTAATTTTCAGACTATGACAGAATCGGATACCGATATATTTTTATATAACATCTGTAAGTGTAATACGTCAGTTAAAACTTACACAAATATTGCAACTTCACAAAGATCTCACACATCACTGTCGTGGTATATTCTTAAGTTCTAACAAGTATCAGTTCACAATACTGTACCTAGCAACATAAAATGATTATTTTGAATATGATCCACCCATCGCAGATCTATGTAACTATCTATCATAGTGTTATAGGAAAATGATTTTGAAGTTAAGGGTTGCAACCCCATTTTTAAAAATGAGCAAAGATAGAGCTCTGATAATTGGTCAAAAGTTATTTCTATCAACAAGCAACACACTGAAGGCACCACTGTTAAAAAACACCCCAGTGCAGATTTCACGTGGAAACCCGGTGAGACCCTTTGACACGAATGTTATTTTTTGATAATTTGTCGGCCATCTTGGATCCGCCATCTTGAATTTTGCAAAATTGACCTCGGAACCGTGATCAGCTGGATTATCCACGAAGATACGGTCTATTGAAAATCACTAAAAAAATTTGGAAATTTTTCTGCTCCTTTAAGTTTTCTGCTGAGTGTATAAAAATTTTTGACGTTAATATTGAAATCCACCGTCATCAAAATGCAATTTCGCGAATATCCGTCAACTAATCACCTATAAAAAGCACTAACTCTGAAAACCTTCTAACGAGTGTCCCTAAATCGAATCACAACTCTAAGAAATTCGCTTATTAATATTAGTTATTTGGTCCAAGTCTAAAAAATACGAAATATATATAAAAAATCCGTCGTTGGCCGCCAATTCTGCGCGTCGCGATGGAGTCGAGCGTCACACTGTTGTGACCCTATCGACCTCAACGTACCGCACAGAATTGTCGCTGTGTCAGCAGATGACGCCCTTCTCGTCGACGATGGCGGTGTCGGAAGACAGGCTCTTTAACCTCGTCTGGAGGATGGACCGAGGCCTCCTCCGGCAGGTCTTCCACAGGATGACGACTGTCGTAAAGCTGAAAAATCGACAGGTGATGTGAGGGGTGAATAGAATATGCAATACTGGTTATAGTCCCCAAGCCGGCGACCTTTTTTCGAACTGATTACAAAAGTCATGAAACCGGTCTGGATCGCTTCATTTTAACGAGTCTACCACGCTGTAAAATTTTTAGAATATGGGAAGGGCGCTTTTCCGCAATGCGAGTACTTAAACCTGTCGTTCTGGGCGGGTTCTCTTTTGTGATTACAACACTCAAATTTTATATTCCTCGCTCATCGCAGGTTAGGTTTTCCGATTACAAAAGTGATAAATTTTATATTTTTGGCTTTAGAATAAAATAATAATTAAAAAACAATACTTGTCCGACAAAAAAAAACGACGCAAATGAATAAAATCTAATGCCTGATTTGGAGCCCAGCGCTCAGTCGTATCCTAGCACTTGACGTGTACGCATCGCTGTGATTTCGATAATTAGACGTTTTATCATAGACAAGTGTATTGTAAAACATTGTATAAATACAAGTGATCGAGTTGGTGAAGAGAGGCGAAAAGTTTCCTTCTTTAGGTAAGTAAAAAAAAGAATATATAAAAGGTAAATATGTACGCCATTTTTCGGTTGACGACACAAGTTTCCAGGGTTAGCTTTATAATTTTGTTCGCCCACATAGTGTAGTAATTAACGTGATATTTTTATTATAAAATAATGAATTAATTAGTGTAAAATATTTTTAGTAATTATTTACTTTACCTACGACCACTACTGTAAATACTTAAAAACACACCGTCTGCGATCAATGTAAGATTCTTATTACGTACGGTAAAAAAATCGCACAGTTTTCCTAGCAACCGCCTAGCAACGGTCAATACAATACTGTTTGTATTGACCGTTGCTAGGCGGTTGCTAGGAAAACTGTACGATTTTTTTACCAAGCTGTGTGATTTTTTTACCGTACGACATAATAGGAATCTTGCATTGATCGCAGACGGTGTGTTTTTAAGTATTTAAAGTATCGGTCGTAGGTAAAGTATAGTACGTAATACGTGGTGTAACTTTTCCATTCGTGCGTAAAATGCTTTTTACAACACTTATTACGTAATATACTATTATGCGAGTCAAATTTTTATGCAATTTTACCAATTCCCGTCATTTCGAGATAGCTGATAATTAATTAAATATTTTTTTCAATTGAAAAAATCGCAAACAAAACTAATTTCAGATTCATGTTCAGCACCCTGGAAAATGAGAATTGGCAAAATGTGAGTTTTGTGACAAAAAATATAATTAAGTACGCTTCGATTTTTCAAACCTAATATTAAAATTTTTACAGATTCCCAAGGAATGTTGACATAAAACGAAGATGGGCGAAGGCTATTAAAAAACAGGACTGGACATTAGCAAGTACATTATAGTATATATTAGCGGTTTCGTAATAATAATAACAAGTTCTCTAATAAAGCCAATAAAATGTGAAGACTGTGTAAAGAGTTTAATGTCAAATACACAGTATTCGTACAGTCAATTTTTATTAAAGATCGTGGTTGTTTGACGTATCCATCTCGAGATGTCGTAGTAATATGCCAAGAAACAGAAAAATTAATAAAAGTTTTTAATAATGATGAAAGCAGAACACCTAGGCTATAGAAAATTAAAATTGTTTATCATGTATTAAAAAACTTTCTGAATGTGAACATATTTGAAAATTTGCATGAACATCAATTTGATAATTTGCCTAACAATTGTAATCATTTAATAGAACTTGTAAGGGCTGAATGTGAAAAGTATATCGATGTACGAATAAATCATGAAGTCAAATTAATGTTATTTAGAGGACAATAAATATATTTAAATTATTTTGTAGTTTTATTTAATATGACACTAAAATATACTATTTTCTGAATTACTAACTTAGAATTGAATATTTGTCATAAGATGCAATATAATGTTTAATATGTAATAAAAATATTACTTAATCCGGATCTGCTTAAAGATGCGCGCGATCAGGGACTTTATTCTTGAATTATAGGGAGTAGAAGGAACGAGAGAAAGGGGGCGTGTCTCTACTAAAACACATTAATCGGTATTCTTGAATGGTGTTCTATTGAGTAATGATAGAAGAATTGTTCACTATTTCTTCTACTGATATTTTCGGGGGAATAGGCAGGGATCATTAAACCTAACCCTATATTTTTTGACATGTTTCACAAATTACGAATTCCGCAATCTGTCTGTCATATTCATATCTCTAGTTACTGTTTTGTGGTGATATCCTTCGAGAACTTTGAGGAAATGTTCGTATAATTTGTGTTTACCTGAGGGATTGTGCAGTACTCGAATAAAATAATAATAGAATAAAATGGATCTACCTAAAATAGTATTAAAATATTTGTAAGTTCTTCCCAGTTAGCCATCATTGTCTCTCTAGTGTAGCTGGGTGTTAACATTCCAGTGTACATTCGTTTTTTACTCCCAATATAATATATTAGAAGTTCTTTTTGTTTGGAACTTACTGGATTTAGCTTCGGCTTTTTATTGATTTCCATTTTCTTTCCTTTTTAGACTGGACCTGACACTGACAATCAAATAACAATAATAAGTAGCACACTTATTTCATGACTAGCTCATCACTAGTTTTCATTCTACCGCCTATTTACTGCTTTCTGATTGGTCGGTACATTTGACAACATTGTTCCTCATTTTTCACTTTCATGGCTCGATCCCCTTGTGTCGAGAATACAGTATGAATTTTGTGAGAGAACAGTAGTAGAGCGAAATGAGGGAATGTTCCCCAGGGAGCATTCTATTCTCTCACCGTCAAGAATTGAGCTCCAGATTGCCTTCCACACTCCACTTCCCCGGATTTTGCATTCACTGGTACCCGTGCATTGGAATTAGATACGGCCAGTCTAGGTGGTCTGTGGTAGTCATATAATGTTTTACTTATTTATTTTTTCATTTGAAATGTTTTATTTTTAACTTTTTCTTATATTTCTTAAAATAATTTAATTTTTTATACATTTCATTTTCAATTATTTTTTATGACATTATTAATAAAAAAAAATACAAGTCGCAATTCACTGTCATTACATTTAAAACTAATTATATGTAACAATAATCGTTTTATTAAGTTTATGAAATTAATCGTTTCTTTTTGTCGGACTAGCAATATGATCCACTATTTTTGTCGGACAATGTCATATTTTGATAAAGAAAGTACTATTTTAGCACTTGGTATTTGTGTCCGAAATTTTGTATCGGAAAACCTAACCTGCGATGAGCGACATGTTTCGGTTGTCGGACTGGGAAAAAGCGCCTGAAAATTTGTCGGACAAGGTATGGACTACGTTTTTTAGGCAATTTTTAGTAAGTTAAAATGAAAATTGGGTGTTTTATAATCGGAAAACCATACCGCGCTAGAGCGACATGTTGGAGATGTCGGACTCGACAATTGCGCCCTCTATTTTGTCGGACAACCCAATTTGCTTCTTATTTAACACATTTTCTTTTAATTCAAATAAAAAATTTGAGTGTTAGAATCACAAAAGAGAACCCGCCCAGAACGACAGGTTTAAGTACTCGCAGTGCGGAAAAGCGCCCTTCCCATATTCCAAAAATTTTACAGCGTGGTAGACTCGTTAAAACGAAGCGATCCAGACCGTTTTCATGACTTTTGTAATCAGTTCGAAAAAAGATCGCCGGCTTGGGGACTATTAAGTTTTAAATACTTTTCTGTACAAATGTTTTATACAGGGTGTTAATGATAAGTTTAGCCAAACTTTAATGGCGTATTCTACCGATGAAAATAATTTATGATAGGACGCTTCCCTACGGAGATACAGGGTGTTAAAAGTTTCTAATATTTATAAGATTTTCCCTGTAACTTTACTGATAAAAAATATTTAGTGATAAAATTTGAGCGATGACATTTTTTTAGCAGGGACAATTTTTTCATGGATAACTTATTCCAAAATACACTCCAGTGGCGTAGTTATTGGGGAAGTAGGGATCCTTTTTTGAAAAAAAAATCGTACGCCACTGGTTTTTTAAATAATTTTAAATGCTTTTAAAATGTACAATCAATTTGTGGCAATAAAGTACTCTTGTAAAGTATTCGTAAAATTTACTGGTCTTTAGATAATTGGGAAATCAAATAAGGAGATACTTAAGTACCTACGTTGCTATTTACCTCCAATTTTCTATTGATTGCTAAATGTGTAACAATAAATTCAATACCTAATATTTTTGAGAGATTTCAAAATATTATACAACAACACAAGAAATGTATTTTACAGTTTAAATTAATTGAATACCATATTTTTTTAAATTAAAATCTGTTTTTAGTTGTATGAAAAATAACAAACTTTTTGCAACACACAAAACAGTGGCGTTGTATAATGTTTTGAAATATCTTAAAAATATTAGGTATTGAATTTATTGTTTCACATTTAGCAATCAATAGAAAATGATAAATAGCAACGTATGTATACTTACCTAAGTATCTTCTTATTTGATTTCCCAATTATCTAAAGACCAGTAAATTTTACGAATACTATTTGACACTTTTAACACCCTGTATCTCCGTAGGGAAGCGTCCTATCAAAAATTTTTATAGGGCAAACGTTGATTATTTCAATCGGTAGAATACGCCATTAAAGTTTAGCAAAATTTATCATTAACACCCCGTTTAAAAGTATTTTACTGTAATAACACAGCTACACAAAAAAGTCCTGACAGAAACAAAAACTACCATATTTTAAGTATTCTGACCTCCTGAATTGAATGCTATAAGCCAAATTTCATTTTATCGTGTTATTTTTATTTAATCTTCAATTTTATGCCAAAAATAGCCATTTTTCCACCTAAAATGAGCATCAGATATCGGCAAAACTAAAAATCAATGAAATTTTTATCCAGACGTGTGTTTTTTCATGTATCTTGGAGCGCTGAATACGAATTTGATGTATTTGATGTCAAAAATATTCTACGATACTAATTTCGGCGAGTATTTGCGAAAAACACACGAAACAAGATATTTTATCGCTAAAAACGACCATTTGATCGCAGCAAAATTAAAAACGAACAAATTTTTAGGTTAGAAACATGGTTTTCTATATATTATTGTATTCAAATTTAATTTTAATGTCCTCTATTTTTGAAAATATTTAATCATTTATATTAGACCAAGATACTTACATGGAAAAACACACGTCTGAATAAAAATGTTATTGATTTTTAATTTTGCCGATATCTGGTGCTCGTTTTAGGCGGAAAAATGGCTATCTTTGGCATAAAATCGAAGATTAAATAATCAGGAGGTCAAAAAGTATGGTAGTTTTAGTTTCTGGGTCAGGATTTTTTTTGTGTGGCTGTGGCTGTGTCATTGTTAGTAGTTTGGCATTCAAATTTAAGATTACACTTTTCAACCATTGCGGTTCGTTTTTATGTTTCAAAAATCATATGATTATTAAAAAAAACCTCAAGGGGCAGTTCCGCCACTGCAAATTAGTACTGTATTGTTTCGGCTATATTAATTTTTTCCAAAATGAGGGATGCTTTCATAATATTGTACTTTATCGCAATAACAGTTATTTTAGTAACGCGTTTTGTCTATAAAATCAATTTTTTTCACGACACGATTCTTTCTTATAACATTGTTGATGTACATCATACAGACTGGTAGGTACAGGGTGTCTCTATATTCCATATACAGGGTGCATCTAAATAACACCGAAAAAATGTAAGGGGCGATTTTCCGATGAAAAAACTTCTGAAAAGTTACGCCCCCTCCAAAAATTAAAATAAAATTGTTTTTCTTTTTTATCTTCCATCTATATCAAGCTAAACAAACCAAACTTGGTAATTATCTGTCAAAAAACTACACTTTTTGAAATTTTTTTGAACCCTGAAGTGTCTTTGTAAGGGGTTAAAATAATCAACCCCCATGACTTTTTTTCGATAAAATTTTTTCGGTGTTATTTTGATATGTACCCTATCGAAAATACATTAGTAATGATTCAAAAAGAAATTAATCCAAAACTATTACAAATAAAAAAACAAAGGGGACAAATATTTAACAAATCTTTCATCTTTAAGACAGAAAAGAAATATGTAGCATGACCCCCGACAAAATTATGAGCAGATAAGTTCAAGGGAGGGGTATTTTTTACAGTTCTGTTAATATAATTACTTCGTATACGTTTGTGTCATAAAGTGACAGCTATATGAGAGTATTAATATACCAAATTTCAAAAAGACATTTTTTTGTCCATTTCGATACGCTCTATTGACTAAACAAAGCAGCTTAGGATAGAAGTAAGTTTGTTAAATCTGCTTATTTTGATCCCAGGAAACTGTAGAATATGGAATACGAAATATTGCGAGTATTGGGTGGCCCAAAAAAAACGAATATTTTTTTTGGTCTCTTGTGAAAATATGTTAGTTTATCATGTTTTAAGAGCCCCCTCAAAAAATCATCTCAAAAAAAATTTTTTAGAGGTCCCAAGATTTTAAAAAATTTCTAAAATAGTCACGAATTTAATTTTTTTTCTCGTTATTTTATCATTTTCTAGGTTGAAAAAATCTCGATTCTGAAAATTTCAAATCGATATTTTAATTTCTAAAAATAGTAATGTACCTAAAATGTTTTCGGACGACCTCTAAAAATAAATATCAACGAACTAATATTTTTTTTTATTGAATTTGATGAACAAAAGAATAGAAATAAATCACGACACTTATAAAAAAAAATTATTAGTTCGTTGATCTTTATTTTTTAGAGGTCGCTCGAAAACGTAGGTACACTACCTTGAAAGTTAAAATAACTATGAGTGACCTTTAGAAATTAAAATATCGATTTGAAATTTTCAGTATAGAGATTTTTTTCAACCTAGAAAATGATAAAATAACGAGAAAAAAAATAAAAAATATTCAATTTTTGACGATTTTGGAAATTTTTAAAAATCTTGAGCGATCTCTAAAAAAATTTTTTTTGATCTGATTTTTTGAGGGGGCTCCTAAAACATGATAAACATATATATTCACAAGAGGCACGAAAAAAAAAATTCGTTTTTTATGGACCACCCTAGTGGATACATATTATGTATAAAAATAAATTTTTAAAATATATAAAAATAGAAACCTTAATTTTTGGCAAGGGGTTGTAAGTACCAAAAAAATTTTTGATTTCAGTAAAAAAAAATTATGTTTTTTATTAAGTTTTTTATTGCTATATAAAATATTAACTTTTAGGAGCCCAACTTTAAGACCTCTTAGAAGGCATTCTTCCACCTATGTTCATAAAAAATTTTCCTCCTATTTTTAATGGTCAAATATTGCATGTGATAATGCACTCTGCGTAAAAAGACTTGTCTGTTTTACAGATTTTACTTTTTAATTAAACTATATCAAATTTTCATTTCTCTGTAACGTTGCGAGTGTTAAGGATATCATATTGTCATTTTGTAACTGAAAGTTAGTTGGCAAACCGATTGAAACTGAAAAAACTTCACTTACCTAGAAACAATAACGCCCAAGGCGCCGAAGAATAGGTAGATCGGCGGAAGCTGGAGGAGCAACGAGCAGTGCGTTAAGGCCTCGTCGATACCAGAGGGACAATCTTCCACCCCGTCACACCAAACTGTGGCGTTGATGCAGGCGTCCAGCTCGGGACATCTATATTGGCATTCGTCCGGCTTCATCATGAAGAGACCCAAGCCGTTTGGCGGGACATCTCGTCTAGAACAGGAAATGAGAATCTGGTTTCTAGTGCCTCGAATTTGATTGAAAGGAAGTGGGCAGTTCGGACATGTTAAAGTTTCGTTGGGTTTTTAAGATGTATCTGAGGATGATGCCACTTGTGTTCACAAACGCCTGCTACTAAATGTGACAGTAAAAACTCACTCTATTTATATACAGCAATCGTCATTTGTGATAATAATTAAACTGATTCTAGACCACATACTACAATGTTTGTCTTAGATCAGTTACCATGCATATCTTTTCCGATTCTGATAAAATATTCTCTTACGAAAAACCAAAGTTTTGTACTAGTGTATATTCCAAAAGCAATTATTTTCCTTTGAGATTTAAGGAGGTTTATCTGATTTGGAATTGACAAACAAATATTCATAAAGAAATTAATATAAGCTTATTAATATGAAGAAAATCCTCAAACAAAATTATGACTAGTTTGGATACCTAAGAGACGAGATATTAATAAAATATTTTTTCACGATTTAGTATGAAGTCTTATGAAAATGCATATTTTTTGGTCTTTCCACTTAGAATACGCAACAATTGACGAACAGTTTCCACAGCAACTTGTATAAATAGGAAACCGATATCTAAGGAACCGTATGATAGCTCGTAGAAATCGGTTAGGTACTTGTAAGATACATAATTTATAATAATTCTCCTTCAAACTGCTGTCGTTGACTAACTTATCCTCCATATGCGTGATAGCGGCAACGTCGCGGTGTCGATGTAGCGTATTATTTGAAATTTGCAGGTGTCCAAGCAAATAGAATGATCGAACGCGAGCGAGCGAACGCCGAGGCGAGCGAACCAGCCAAGTACAAATTTGACAAATCTAAAGACTTACTACTTTGGTCACTAGTGAATCTACAGAAACTCTCGTTACGTTACGTTAAATTTGGCGTAAATCGGTTAATTCTTTGGAACCGCGTCCGCCATCTTGGATCCGCTATCTTGGACTAAAATTCCTCAAAAACAGATTTCAGATTCGTAGTCAGCGGCCCCAAAAACCCCCCTATATCAAATTTAGCGTAAATCGGTTAATTTTTTGGAATCGCGTCCGCCATCTTGGAAAATGGTCAAGGACATATCTGAACGTAAAATTTTCCGCTCTTTTCATTTCCGGGGTCAAAAGTAAGGCATCCCATTAGAAAAAATTAACTTGACCTTGAAATAACCTTGAAGGTCAAGGTGAAATCTAGGGTCACCATTGAATACCCAGGGAAAAATCCTAAATCTTTTGTCTGAATCATTTTCCCTCAAAATGCATTTTTCGAAAGTTATTGTGCTGTTTCCATACTTTTGGGACACGTTGTAGGTATATAAAGCAAGTCTGTCACACTTGTCGTATACTCGCCTTGTTATTAGAGTAAATACGATTGTTATCCTATTTTACCAATTAGAAGTCTAATAAAAATCGGCTTATTTTCTTTCTTTCTTTCTGAAACGGCCTGTACGCATGACTAAATGTCAAATCAAATGTCAAATTTATGTTAAATATAAATGCATCATAACTTTTAAAAATATATGTCTGTTACTGTAATTCACGAAAGCTTTATTTTATTACCTTTGTTTCTAGGGCAATCCAAAAAATATATACAAGGTGATTCAGTCAGAATGCACATTAATTTTAACCAGGTATTTCCGAATACGTGGTCTAATAGTAGTCCAGGCGGTATCTGTTTTAAAAAGGGTATACTTGGGTAAAACGCATATGATCGGAGATTTTTGCTTTAACGGCTTCTAAATAACATCAGAAATGATAATTTTTCTATCCAAATAAAAAAAAATGTGGGCTTAATTGTTATTGCAAAAAAGTATAAAAAAATAGCAAAAAAAATCATTTTTTTCTTGGATTTCTTGTCGACAACTTAGCAACTATTCATTTTAGACAAAAATGGAAGAGGAAAAAAAGTTTTGTAATTAAATTTTGAACAAGATAGAGTTAGTTACAATTCGAAAAAATAATTATTATTATTGCAAAAATCGGAAAAATCATTTAAAAAATTGCAAAAAATGCTAGTTTATTTGTCAATTTTTTTAAGACACTTGAATAAAACCTAGTATCTTCATACTTTTCCCAGTTAAACTTCTTAGTGCATAGAATCATCACACCAAATTTCATCCAATTTGGTTCGATAGTTTTTGCATAATAATTGTTTAAATTTTTTATATTTTTTAAATTAAAAAATTTTTAAAATCAAATTTCTAAAAATCTAAAGCCTTTGAACACTTGAAAATTTCACCACAAAAAGAAGAGCTCTCAAGCTTTAAAATGGCTTCTGAAAAATTCAAATCGGACGATTAGGTGAGCCGTGGTGATTGTTCGCAATTTTCACGCTTATAAACAACTGCAATAATTTAATGTTTTTTTCAATTTTTTTTTTAATTTTAAAAATGGTTTGAAAATACTCGGAAAGACGAGTATTTAAAAAAAACTGATGATGCGCCCGTTAAAGTTAACCCTTGTTTATAGCAAAACTATAAGAGTATAAGGCTGTTTTTTGAACTAATAAGTTTGTCATTCCGAGTACTTTCCAGATATAAATTTTCAAAATTTGCAATCACGGGCGTCTCATTTAAAATGTCACTCAAAGATATTTAAGACCGCGTGAAATCAATGAGGTATCAGTGGTGGGGGAGCAAACACAGAGCTACTCCGATCTGAATTCTCGAGTTCAAAACTGCGACGCTCGCTCGGAAAAATTTCACTTATCTCGGCTTCTAATGGACCAATTTCGATGATTTTTGTTTTAAATCCATGTCTCGCAACTTAAAAAATTCAATTATCATATTTTCATTTTTGTCTAAAATGAATAGTTGCTAAGTTGTCGACGAGAAATCCAAGAAAAAAATGAATTTTTTTGCTACTTTTTATAATTTTTTGCAATAACAATTAAGCCCACGTTTTTTTTTATTTGCATAGAAAAATTATCATTTCTGATGTTATTTAGAAGCCGTTAAAGCAAAAATCTCCGATCATATGCGTTTTACGCAACCCGAAACAGATACCGCCTGGACTATAGACGAAAGACGACAATCGAAAAAAAAAAAACTCGATTTCGCAACAGGAAACGTACCGGCGGACTATAGAACGTTAGAGCGTTGAACCGAAACAGCTGATTTCCCCAGTCGTCTTGAATTTTGCAATTGGTTTCAAAATCAAAGTGCAGCGGATACCAATTTTATTAACAAAGTACTATGGACGGAGGAGTGAATGTTTTTTTTAGTCGTACTATCATTTTAAATAGGTACCATACTACTCTTTGAAAAGCTATAAGTCACACAATTAGGTATACGTACTACAAACTGAATTGAACAAAATAGGTACTAAAAACTCATATTCAATTATATAACATAGTGAAAACTGTTTATTCGTTGTCGTTCACTATAGATTAAAAACGTATTAAAAGCTAGGATAATGACCGAATATTAATTACGGTAGGTTAAGATTCACTTTCTATAAACCATTGCGAGTCAGCGTAAATATGCATTTTAATAGTTTTTAAATCGCGTATTCGTATTCTGCTCATTTTTCCCCATCTTCCCTTAAAATTAATGACATTATGACTGAATCACCCTGTATATACCTCTTTATATTTTATTTTAACTTTTTGTACTGAATAAACACAGTAGTACACTGTAGAAATATTATTCAACTGTATCGCTTTTAAAATCGCCTATTCGGAGACGACTAGCCGATATTTTACGGTCGCGCGACCAGAATTAGAAATCCGCATCCGCGCCAATTCAAAACCTCCGAATAGTTTTCATTTCTCGCGGGATTCCATTTCGCTATCTTACCTTAAAATTCAATAACAGATACGGTCTACATCCATTCAGCGGTAGATGAAGTAGCTTTCCGTGGAAATGATTTCACTGATTTGTACGCCAAGCGTATGCTCTCGACAAGGGACATGAAGTGGAATGGAGCCGATAAATAATATAGCCGCGCCGTCTCAGTTTATGTACGGAGAGTCTGCTACGTCTTCATTTATTTATTTTTTTAGAAAATCAGACCTACCCCATACACAGAAGGCAGCAACTAGATCCAGACTAATTAACAGATGGGTGGTGAGCTAGCGAGCGATATTTGTTAAAATCCGCTTTATATTTTATACACATCAATCGCGTGGGACGATTTTTTTTGTATTCACAATGTTTTTTTAAAAAAATCGTTTAACATAATTTTAATTGACTTTTCATAGGCTCTAAGTGATAACTAATGTTGTCAACTTTACAACAGGATATTCCTCAATATGGGCAAAATTCCTCAGTTTTTGGGTAAAATTTTGCGTTATGTAGAATAACGCGGGAATTAGATATCAGAAAAAATCTAATACTTACGGTTTTTTATAAAAATACTTTATTTTTTTTATTTATCGTGTTAATGGTTTGCATATCTATAAATTGTTACACTTTATAGTGGTTCATGCGAACGTATAAAATACAAATGCGGGACAACCGGAACAAAGTCTTGCAAAGGGTTTAAATGAAAATTGACAAAGTGAGCTGAGTACGATTCTGTTCAGAGCCGCGCTTTCCGAACTCTACAATCAGTTCGGAGGCCAAAAGCCTGCGAGTTTTAATTACCTACCCATGTGAACAGCGGTTCTAGTCCACTGTTGTTATCAAATTTGAATAGGACACCTTATTTTTTTGCATTAATTTGTTGAACTTCCGATATAACAGGAAATTTATATCACCAGTAATTATATTTTGTTAACCTTGTATATTTTAGTTGTACGAAACAACCTTTTTAATTACGAATCCAGGAATATATTATAATATGTTACACAATTTTCTTTCTTATGCTTTTCAACAGGGTATGATGACCACTGAAGACGATAGAGCCATCAGAAATACTCCCATCAGGTCTGAATTTTTCCCTAACCTCAAAGAACTGCTCAAAATCAATGAAAATCTCGATTAGTTGTTAAAATAGATAAGATTCTGAAATTACACAGACGTGTTAATAGGGTCAAAATAAAAACTTTTTATTATTCCTTACTGTAATAAAAAGTATTGTAAAATTCCTTGAACTGGTAATCTATTTTAATCTGTTGCCATTACAGCCATTCTTAACCAATCTTGAGCATTATTAAAATGCCTATAACTACTCAATGATGAATTTTTAAGATCTTAACCATTTTTACAAGAAATCGGAATTTCGACGTGATGGAACATTTCTGATGGTTCGATCGTTTTCAGTGGGTCAAAATACACAAATATTCTGTTAAACGGTATATGAAAAAAATTTTTATGTGTTGCTGTTATTAATCTATTACTTGTAAGGACCCTTTTTTATGTAGAACTATTAGAATTCATTTTATGTAGATGATTCCTGCAAAAAAAAATAAAAAAATGCGGGGGGATGAAAAATCTGCCCCCCCCCCCTATCTGGCCCCAAAGGGGTTCGTTAATTTTACATCCAAATTTAATAGAAGAGTAGGTACTCTTAAAAGGTCTCGAAAATTTCGATTTGATACTTCAAAGCAATTATTGAAACTTACAACCGAAAAGGTGCTTTTCACCCCTCTCTTTGAGGGGTCGCGACTTTTAAATTCCGTGCATTAGTTTATACAGGGTGTTGCAAAATGTTCAGAGAATTCTACATCCAAAAATACGAAAAAGTTCCTATAAACGTAGGTCCGCAAATGCTTCTTTTTTAAAAATTTAAAAAATCTGACATTTATTGATAATTTCTAAATTTTTCATTGGAAATCGTTTAAATTTGGGTTAATAAATTTATGATATGTAGGTTATAATTTGGTGTAAGCGATTGCATTTCACACTCATCAGGGGCGTTGATATGGGGGAGTACCTATTGATTTTTTACCAGAAAATCTACGCCACTGGTTTCTCTACTGGTTTTTACTTTATTTTTAGGAACTTCATTTATATTAGAGCAAAAAGGCCCCCTTGCACATTTGTTATTTAGCGAGCGGCTTTCGAGCTATTGAAGATTTTTAAAATCATGCAAATAATTTTTAAATAAACATTAACCATTTAGTATCAAACTCTTGTAACTTGACTGCAATGTACAAGGTGATTCACTATATTTTGACCCTCCATTAACTTTTTTCTTTTTAGCTATTAAAAAATGTGAAATACGAAAGTTACACGATTTTTTATGAAGTTTTTAAAAATGATAGCAGAAAAACAAATGAAGTCCAAAAAAATGACCTCGGATGTTGACTTTGTTAATTTAAATGGAACACCCTGTATATTTTTACATATTTGGATAGAACGTTTCCTGTCGAGCATAGTCATATAGGGTTTGTTTGGTTCATCTCTAACAATAAGCGAGATACTATTAAAAAAAGAAAAGAAGGTTTTTTATGAAGAAAATAAGATAATTTTATAATTGTTAGACCTCTTTCAGGCATTTCTGCCTTTTTTCCAATTGCGTAAGGATTTACAGATTTAGTTATATCTTATTTTGTCATATCGGACATTGATATGGTCTATAATGCGTATAGGCATTCTAACTAAGTGTCACTAAATAGGCCGTGAGGGGCCTAATTACTCGTGGACAATTTTATAGGCCGTGACAGTGACTGGTAATGGGGGGGGGGGGCGTCAATATATAGTGAATCACCCTGTACCTAAATTTGTATTAAAACGTAATTGTCCAAATTTACAAGAAAGTATTAACAATAAACTAACTTTATTAACATTACCAATAACATATCGATAGCAATAATTAACAACTTCTCGGTTAGGATAATATAAAAAAAATAATGAACTTTTTTTGACTCCCTCTATTTCGAAAACGAAGCATTTGCGGATCTACATTTATGGGAATTTTTTTATTTTTGAATGTAGAATCTGCTCTAGATTTTTCTGAATAACATTTTGCAACGCCCTGTATATCAAAGAGCCCTTGTGTACGCGTTTAAGATTTATCCTGTATAATAGACAAGGCGAAATCGGCGGCTTCGTATGAGAAAATTAGTGGATTCGATTTTTTTGCATAATCACCTCCGTGAGACGTCTCTGAATGAGGATCAAAATGTTACCGGCCGGTAACCTGGTCACAATTTTTTTAAACTAATTTTTTTTAAACAAATTGCAAAAATAACTTGTTTTGCGCCGGAATTTTGGGGTATTCTAAACAAAATAGTTCCTATGCACTATGCCCCTAAAATCAACGGTTTCCGAGTCATAAACAATTTAAAGTACGAAAAAATCCAAAAACGGTCATTTTCAAGACTCAAAAACAATAACAAAAAATAAAGTTTTTGATGTTACTAAAATTTAAAAGTAATCTTTAAACATACCTTGACAAAATACGGAGGACTGATTTGGTGTAATTACATTTGAATGCGTATTATTTTACCTATTAACAATATACATTTTGACTTGCGAGCCGCGCCGCTCGGGCACTCCACTGTGCGCCGACCCCGTCAGCGCCTCACTTTTTCATATATCTCGACATATATTTTAAAATAAATAAAAAATAAAGAGTAAAATGTCTTAAACTTATAAATATATTTATTTAAGGATACAATTTTCACATTCGTCTGCATTACAACCACATAAAGTAACACAAGTAACATTATTTTTTCTACAACTACATGCTTTAGTTTTACATGTTTTCAAACATTTACATTACTCGATCAGGTATTATTAAACATAAATATGGGTAATACTGCATCATTTTCATCTAGTTTGTAACCGAAATTTTCGATATTCAACGTCTGGTATTTAGAGTAGGTACCTATATTGAATTTTTCCAAATATACGTTTGCAATTATGCTCTTAATACGTGTAGTTTAAAGACATCAGAAGTACATGGAATATTTCCTAAGTTTATACCCATTCCACACGTTCGAGAAAAAATATTTAACCTATAGCGGCGCGGGAATTTCATTGCGATATTCGTAAATTCAAAATTAGATATTATTTAAGTAAAGTAGATATATTATTATTGTTATTGTTATTATTGTTACTGTTTAGAAATTTATAATATCAATAAACAAAAAATAATTTTAATAAATAAAAATTCAGCATTGCTAAAATGTATCAAAAAGTGAGGTGATGAATATATACACGAGGTCGGCGCAGAGTGGAGTGCCCGAGCGTCAAGTCAAAATGTATATTGTTAATAGGTGAAATAATACGCATTGCAATGTAATTACACAAAATAACTCCTCGGTATTTTGTCAAGGGATGTTTAAAGATTACTTTTAAAATTTAGTAACATCAAAAACTTGATTTTTTGTTATTGTTTTCGAGTCTTGAAAATGGCCGTTTTTGCATTTTTTCGTACATTAAATTGTTTATAACTCAGAAACCGTTGATTTTAGGAGCATAGTACATAGGAACTATTTTGTTTAGAATACCCAGAAATACCTAATAAAACTTTTTCCGGAGCAAAACAAGTTATTTTTGCAATTTGTTTAAAAAAAATTAGTTTAAAAAAATTGTGACCAGGTTACCGGGCGGTAACATTTTGATCCTCATTCAGGGACATCTCACGGAGGTGATTATGCAAAAAAATCGAATCCACTAATTTTTTCATACGAATTGTGACTCTCCGACACCGTAAATCTTAATTATAGAACCCATAACTCACCGTCTCGACAACTCCAACCACATGACGGAGTACTCCCCTGCTTCCCGGCCGTAGAACTCGACGACGATTGTCCTCGGCAGCTCCTTGCCCAGCCGATCAATCTCAATCTTGTCCAGGACCATCTGGCCGATGGCGTACTCGGGGCTGTTCTTCACGTTCCACCCCTCGGAGAACACCTCCACCAGGTGCTGGCGGGACGTCCTCTCGGATGGGCAGATCATCGCCGTGTACAGCGCGGTGTGTACCTGGAGGGACGGAATCAAGTCAGTCTATTGTGGATGAAAATCTGACTTGTTATATTTTAGGTTAATAAAATGTTATTAGCATATATACAGGGTGATTCACAACTTATCCAAAAAAGTTTGGGCATGAGAAATGGAGTCAATATCGTAAAAAAAATGTTTGTAAAATCCTTATAGTTTCCGAGAGAAAAATTATTGAAGTTATAGTACAATCAACCACTACATAGCTGAACAACTGTAGTCTCTAGCGTCATTCACAATGCGCGAGGAGAGCCACGTTGCCTCAGCGACTTTGAATACTGAAATCGGATTTTGCAATCGTCGTTGCGATAGTATTTACCTGTTATCTGTGGTGTTTATAATAGTTTGTTAGTAGTTAGTGTCAAAAATGGTTTGCGTGTATAGCAACTCGGAGTTGATGGATATCGTTTTAATTTATGGTAGCATTTGTGTTATGGTGAAGCAAGACAACATTTGTGTTAGTTCATAGAAACTGAGTAAGACGGATCCAAATGTGTTAACACGTTGGTGGATAAAATTTTGAACAATTGTTGTTGTAACATCGGGTATGTCAAATGATTTTATTATTTAAAAACACAAATTAATTTTATTAATTAATAAAAGCAAAAGCAGTTGAATTTGCCGATATAAAATAGGTGCGATAAACTTCTATTTACATATTTCTTTCCTTGCGAAGTTTTTGTCCGTTTTTATCACACCGCCATGCCGGTCGCATTGCGCGAGGTCAGGTTCTACAGTGGACCAGTTTCCAGTGCCGTGCAGAAGTGTATTTTTAAATCGTTTTCGAACTGCCCTTTTTGATTTTTTCTTTACAAAATTGTATTTGTGAGGGTCCCCTGTACATCCAGAATTTTTTTTGGATAAGTACTGAATCACCCTATATCTTTAAATTTTTGGAAAGTATCCATCATTGTTAATTAAATGTACAAAAAAATCAGAATTTTTTTTCAACAACTCTCAAAATTAATAAAAAATGATAATATTTAATCAATTATATTGGGGAAAACAACTATTCTGCGGACAAATGTCCCAAAGAGCATTGAATTACACTGGAAATATCTAGTAAATAGACAAAATCGTTCGTCAGCAGAACCGTCAGACATACAGGGTGTGCCATTTAACACTCCCGTTGCCAATATCTCCGAAATGAAGCTATTTATTTTAGTTACGGAAAGTGGGGTTGTTAGGTCCCTCGAATAGGTTCAAATTGCAGTTAAAATTGTTAGTTCAAAAGTTTCTATATAGATGGCGTGGCGATATTAACAAATTGTTTGATTCATGGATCGTGTAAATGCGGTTCATTTGAAAGATCGTTAAATTTTTAGTAATTTTTGTAATAACTATAAAGTTTTTCCCAATATTTACTTGTTTTCGGGATTTCAATATTTATTTAAATCAGAGATAAAACATTCTATTAAAATATTGTTATAATGGCTTTATTCACACCACATACTAACTAACAAACAATAAATTGTAAAAAAAAACAAATGATCAACAATAGAAAAAAAATTGTACAGTGGTAAATTTTCACTTATAATACCACTAGAGCTTCAATTATTACTGGAAATTTTTCCGAGCACACGAATTTTCTAAAAAATATTCGTGTGCAAGAAAAAATTTCCAGTTTTTAATTGAAGCTAGAGTGGTATTCGGTAAGAAAATTTCACAATGAAGTGTTAAAAAATTTTTTGATTGTTTTGAAGAGACAGTAGGCTTTGTATGTTAATTCAAAAAGGATAACAAATGTCATTTTATATGCACGGTGTCAAAGTGAAAAGTTTTGTATTTTTTTACGAAAAATGTCTCGTTTTGGAGAAGAAAACCAGGACATAAAAAAAGAAATTCAACATCTGATGCCAGATAATACCAAAAAATCAAAGATAAGCATTTGCAAGCAGTTTCTAGAATTTTGCAATGAAAAATCTTATACAGGAAAAGCTACCTGTTGAAGAACTGGCAAGTATTCTAGAAGATTATTCATTTAATATGAGAAAAAAAAATTCAGAGGAGTACAAAGAAAGTGTTGTAAAAGTAATGTGGAATTCAACTGCCAAACAACTATAGGAGATGTATTACGAAGAATTTAAAGTTAAATTTGATCCATTTTCTGACATAACCTTTAAAAATGCAAGAGCAGCACGTGATGCTAAACGTAGAAAACTACAAAAAGATCCAACAAAACGAAAGCTTAGTGCCTTGGCCTTAAGTGATGCTGAATATATGAAGATTGTAGAACTCTGGGATGAAGATTGTCCAGAAGGTCTTCAGCGAAAGTTTTTTCATATTGCTTCCCATGAGTCAGCCTGGAGGGGCAGAGAAGGTGCAGTAGCAAATATTGAATACTTTGTTGAAGAAACTGATAATTTCGGCAAATTTACTGGTCGCATAGAGTATAATCCGATTTTTTCGAAGACAACACAAGGCGGTTCAAGAAAGTTAGCTGATAGCAAGTGGCTAATCACAAACATAAATAATCCAACCATATGTCCTGTTCGTCTTTTTAGGAAGATGATGGAAAAACGAGGTAACTCTATAGAGACCAATCGTTTGTTTTTAACTCCTAATCCGTTTTGGGATCAGAGGAATTCAAAGGGATGGTACAAGAATTGTCCAGTGGGGAAGAACACGATTTTCACATGGTTTAAATCGGCTGCACAGAAAATTGGTGTTGGCACAAAAAAAGTGAAAATTACGAATCATTCAGCGAGAGCAACTGCAGTATCCAATTTGGCGAAAAAAGGAATTGGGGAACAGCAGTTGATCAAAATTACAGGCCACAGTAGCCGTCAATCGATAAAACCTTATTTACAGATTGATGAAGGACATCATAAAGAAATTGTTGAAGCTATGCGGTGTAATTCAAAAGGCAGCTGTACCAATGTTTCAGTATCAAAAATGATGCAGTCAGATGCAAATCAATCATCAGTTATAACTTATAATAACTGTACATTTAATGTTACAAATAATAATTATAGTAGTATTGATCAAAATAACAGTAATAATAATTAATATTGTTCTTTAGTGCGTAATATACCTATTTTAAACAGGTGATACAATTATTTTCTTTACATTTATGAAAATAAGGTATTTAGATATCAATCTCGACGGTCATATTTCTAAATTTGTTCTAAATTTCTATTCTAACATCAGTTAAGATTATGTTAAATAATACACAAACTACCAAATTTGGTTGTGCAAAATAAGTATAAGGCAGTTGGTGGTAGTTCAAATCTTATTATAATATATGATCAATTATTCTTGATCAACTTCATTCCACTAACGTTGGTGGAAATATAATTTCTTACAAGGAACTCGAAACAAAATACAATTAAACGACTTTAGTTACACAAAATAACAAACAATAAGTCAATAATAGCTCAATCTTTCCGTTTTCTACAAATTAATTTTACTAAAGTTGGTAGAAACATGTTTTCTTACAAGAAACTCGAACCTAGTATCGATGAATTTCACATACATTATATTAGGTTTAATAAAATGCAATTACACGACTTTAATTAAACAAAATAATAAAATATAAGTCGGTGGTGGCTTTGCCTCTCAGTTTCCTAGAAACTCATTTTACTAAAGTTGGTAGAAAAATATTTTCTTACAAAAAACCTTAAGCAGTATGTAGTATCAATGAAATTCACATGCATATATTATTAGGTTAAATTTAATAAAATATAAGTAGCGAACTTTAGTTATACAAAATAATAAAAGATAAGTTGATCGTAGTTCAATCTTTCAGTTTTCTACAAATTTAGTGTACTAAATTTGGTAAAAATATATTTTCTTACAAAGAACCTCAAGTATTATGTAATGATAATACAATTCATATGCTTATATTATTAAGTTAAATATATGTAAGTAACGAACTTTAGTAACACAGAATAATAAAAGACAAATCTATAGTAGTTCAGATTCTCAGTTTTCTAAAAATTCATTTTACTAAAGTAAGTTGAAATAATATTTTCTTACAAAGAAATTGAAGCACTATGTTATATCAATGAAACTCGCATGCATATTTTATTAAGTTAAATAAAGTATAAGTGGTGAACTTTAGTTACACAAAATAATAAAAAATAAGTTGATAGTAGTTCAATCTTTCAGTTTTCTAAAAATTTAGTGTACTAAAGTTGGTAAAAATATATTTTATTGCAAAAAAACTTGAAGCAGTATATATAATCAAAGTAACTTACATACATATAACATTAGGTTAAATAAAATACAACTAACCGACTTTAGTTAAGCAAAATAATAAAAAATAAGTCGATAGTAGATCAATCCCTCAGTTTTCCACATACTCATTTTACTAAAGTTGGTAGAAATATATTTTCTTACAAAGAACCTTAAGCACTATGTAATATCAATAAAATTCATATGTATATATTATTAAGAAGGCCATGGAATCCATGTCAAACAAGGTAATCGTGACTTTTGACGTTATTTGACCATTTTCTTTAAAATCGTTGTGTTGTACAATTGAAAAATGGAGCGGTTTGAGAAATACGTTTTATGCAAGTTTTGCGAAAAAAGTTAGTGAAATTAAAATGTATCATCGGAACCTAAAATTTTTAATGTATTTATTACAAGAATGCGGGCCAGAAATTTATTCGCCAAACTTGTTTGGGATTATTAAAAATCATTTGCTTCTTGTGTATAAGAAATATGGAGCTCTTCGTGGATCACAGCAGAATAAGATTGTTTCAAAGTACTACATTTATTTTTTGAAACATAGACATTTTATAAATTTTAGTGAATGCGTGCTTGTTTATTCCCCATTAAGAAAAGAAGACGTGGCTGAGGAATTTCAGCAACATTTGGACGCTTTAATTAAAACTACTAAAAGTACATACTTGGTAAATAATTATTTATAGATGATTTGTACTTATTAAATTATGATAGAATAAATTTGAAGTTAAATATAAATGTCATTTTATTTATAAATGTCAAAAAATTTCCAGTGTAATTTCATGCTCCTTACCCCAAGGAAGAGAAAAATTTCCGGAAATTTTCTTAGTTGCTATAGTAATGCTACAAAATGCAGGCCTTTAATTGGCTGAAAAACACTATTGTGAAATTTTCATAAAAATTTTAAATTTTAAGGGTACGGACCTTGCATTTTTTTTACTATCGTCGCTCTCAGTTTATACTTAAGAAGCAATCTCTCCCTTGCATTTTTTGCGAGTGTATAAGGGCAGTAAACTCACCCTAATTCGATTGGCGGTCTCGCATCGTAAGCCGGTCGAGATGGTTCTAGACGTGCCGTTTCCAAGTCTGCTTGAATGTTTCATTATCCCACCGCTGATCTTTACGTAGAGGTACTTATTGGATCCCGGGATTATAACTCGGGGACTGGACTCGCAGTTTGCCTGGAAATTGGATTTTTATTTTACTGGTTCTCGAAGTGATGATCTAGAAAATAACGTCATGGGATTGAAAAACTATCAAGGCAAGTGTTTCTGCTTGGGAAAGATCATCTCGTCGGGGAACTACGTTAGGAATATTGCACTGTGGCTGGTACAGCGAATAAATAAAGATATAAGAGTTAGATTACTGTATTATATTAGTCGATTATTGATTGGGGATACCTTAAACTTAAAAATAAGGATTTCATGATGTGTCTAAAGAAAATTGTACAATTTGTATGTAGAACTTTCAGTTGCAAATATGCAGGAATTTCTGTAACAAACAAAACTGCTATTTATGTTTCGTATAAAATTTTTTTTTATGTAAATATATTTTTTGATAAAAAATATTTTAAACCAATATATTATCTATTCTGTTTATTCAACATACTTTCTATATAATCAGTTATTAGCTTTCACAAGATCAACGAAATCCAAATATCATATTAATTGCTATATATTTTGATTCTATACAAATACGAACTAAACATCCAACCAGCGCCTTCACCATTTTTAGTAACAGTTAATATGATCAGAGATAATCCGAATGAAGTACAACTAAATTCACTATGAGTAAACCCTCGAACACTGAAATACTTTAAAACATTCGAAATACTTAAAAATATAACAAAACACCTCCACATCCTTCGAAAAACCACTAATCATCTCAATATGTTGATGTACTGTTGATACCTTCGATTTCCTGTCATTGACCTTTTGTTTGCGGTCATTGGCCTTTTAGTTCCGGTCATTGGCCTTTTAGTTGCGGTCATTAACCTTTTTTTTGCGGTCATTGCATTGACTTGCCTTCATTAACTTCTGATATCTGGTCAGCGACTTTTAAAGTATGATCTCAAACCATTGACCTTTGATTTTGGCTTTTGGACATGATCTCTGAACTTTGACCATAGTTATCGACTTTTGATGTTTGACCTGCGACACCTGTAGGATTTCTGAAGTATTTTGATGTGTTCTAATGTTGTTTGGATCCATTTCATTGGTATTTAAAGCTATTTAGCTTTAAAAGTAAATACGAAAGTTACACGATTTTTTTATGAACTTTTCGAACAAGATAGAAAAACAAATGAAAGGCAAACAAAATGGCCGCGGATTTTAACTTTGTTAATTTAAATGGAACACGCTGTATATTTTTACATATTTGGATAGAACGTTCCCTGTGGATCATAGTCATATGGGGTTTGTTGGGTCTATCTGTAACAATAAGCAAGATACTATTAAAAAACGAAAAGAAGGATTTTTATTAAGAAAATAAGACATCTTGTAATTGTTAGACCTCTTTCAGGGGTTTCTGCCTTTTTTCCATTATATAAGGATTTACAGATTTAGTTGTAATATATTTTGGAAATTGGAAAAAGGCAGAAATGCCTGAAAGATGTCTAAATTACAAGAATCATATTTTCTTAATAAAAAACCTTCTTTTCGTTATTTAATAGTATCTTTCTTATTGTTAGAGATGGACCCAACAAACCCCGTATGACTATGCTCGACAGGGAACGTGCTATCCAAATAAGTAAAAATATACATTTAAATTAACATCCGCGGCCATTTCGTTTAGACTTCATTTGTTTTTCTATTATCATTTTAGAAAAATTCATAAAAAATCGTGCAACTTTCGTATTTCACATTTTTCTAAAAACAAAAATGTTAATGGGGGGGTCAAAATGTAGTGAATCACCCTGTACAGCTTCCTGGGGCTTGATTTTTGAAAACAGGAGAACTGATTCTCCAGAGAAAAAATCTCTTAAAAACTTAAACACTTATTTTTGAACGTTGAAGGAATCCAATTCTCTAGAGAATTTAATTTATGCCGTATGTCGAGGATATATTTGCAACTGACCAATCAGCGGGCAGAATTTTCTTCAATATTTCAGTGCCATTATTGGCGACCCTGATGTTTAGTCACTTGATTTGATTTTGAAGTTAGTTTTGTAAATGTCATTATATTCGTCAGGGAGACTATAGTACGATCATTTTCGATGCAAAGTAATAAATCATTGCCTGTCAAGGGAACCAATGAAGTACTCCTTTAAGGGTTTTACAAATTGAATAATTTCTTTATACATTATGAAGGTTCGAGGGGATCAGTTCAGGTCTGGCACCCTTGTTGCTACAAAAATACCTTTATTCTCATAAACTATTTATTTTAAATGTAATTTATTATAAATCCAATTTGTTTCCTAAATTCCACATATGTACTACATTTTACCTCTGTACGCGCCACTGTTGTTTACTTGTTTTTTGGAAGCGCTCTCTAAGTGACAGCAAAGCTCGCCAGGTTAGTATTTGACGTATAACCGACCAGTTCGTACACTCGATGCACCTGGGCGACTACAGCTACTACCAGAACACAGTGCGTATGCAGCTGTATTTCAGATTTTACATTGAATTTCATTTTAAATTTGAAATGATTTATCTTACGCCTCCTAAAAATCATGACACGATTTTCCTTTGATAAAAGGCCGACAATTTTTTGCTCTACTTTGCATCGTATACGATCCTACTATAGACATCTCCATGATATTCGTAGTAATTTAATATAACTTCAATTTGAATAGAAGTATATTTGAAAACACAAAAAATTTAATATTATTATAATTATGATGAAGCGTTCGTTCACGTCGAAAGCGCAAAAAAGAAATTAATATGCTTAGAAACAACGAAGAACTTTTTAAAATGAAAGTTTTCTTCTACTTTTACTCACAAAAAGGCCCAAGAACAGTGGTCAGATATTGCTGAAACTTTAAATGGTTTAATTAATGTTGTCGCGGATGGTTTACAATTTCTGCAGCATGCAAATTATTAATTATATTTAGATTTAATAATAAATTATTTAGATCCATTACAAATTTCAAATTTCAAATGATTACTACGCACCTTCGAACAGCGATTGAATGAAGTGACTTTTCGCGCATGAGCATGAGATGACATTTGGATTCAAACTATTCGGAGAAAACGCCAATTCCCCCGACAAAACCCTGTGGAATTATTTATCTTGATATCTAGAGAAAATATTCCACAAGAAAATTTCAAAAATCACATTATCTGTGTGTCAAGAGAAAATGACGTAATTTTCTCTAATGAACTAATTCTCCCGTTTTCAACAATCAAACCCCTGAACGATCCTAAAACTTATTTAACAAATTTTGGTCTTTGACCTTTGGTTTTAGGTCGCTGGTCTTTGTCTCAGGTCATTGATCCCTAACCTCAGATCATTGCCCTCTGACATCCGGTTATTGATAAATTGATATTCAGTCGTTGACCGTTGACATCTTACCTTTATATTCCGTCTGCAATCTTTGGTCTGCGGTCATTGATTTATGGCTTGTGGTCATTGACCTTTCGCTTGCGATCATTGACCTTTGGCTTACCATCATTGGCCTTTGGCGTCTGGTCAGCAACTTGCAGACTATGATCTCCAGCCATCGACGTTTAATTCTGTCTCTGATTATTATTGACTTTCGTTCTGCTTCCAGTGACTATTAACCTCTTAAAACTAGCTGGATTTCGACATATTCTATAGAACATGTATTCTATTCAATTGATAAGATTTTTTCGAAACCAAATTTTACTTTATAGCGAAGAACAAGCGATTTTTAATTATAAAAACGAAACTTACCTAAATCACAGTTTAAAAGAATAAAATGTACACCAAAACCAGTTTAAATAAAACTCGTTTTGGATGCATGAAGAGTCTGTGAACTTTAATTTTGTTTTCCATAAACGAGGAGAAACATAGGATAATTTTTGTTCAAATTATTTTCTGTATTCACACCTAAAACGTTTCCCATTGAGAAAATCGTGTACTGCTATTCGTTATTTCCACTTCTTTTTGGACGGACGTTATTCAACACAGTGGGTTACTTACCACAGCAACAATGCCGTAGTCGTTATCTCGCAACAAATATGTCATTCCATTGTTAGAACCAGGACCAGATTGTGCCCTACGTTCTTATTTATAATCTGATTTCATTGTTTCAGCTGGTTACCATTGTCTGGTGTGTGGTTGTTAGTGTATAATTCAGTTTAATGTTGTGTGACGAACGAAAATTTAAACGGTTCTCATACAGGGCCACCCATAATTAGCCTGCTGAACTTCATCACTCGATTCTACATTCACAAAAAGAAAAGAGTTCTAATAAGTACAGGGTGTTTTGGAACGGATGGGTCATACTATAATGGGAGGTTCCTGGAGTCAAAATATGCCAATCTAGCACAACTTATTGCAATAGTTAAAAATAATGAACATGTCGCCCTCTGTCACCTTTACGTACTTATTTCGGAAACACACCGTATACATTTTGTAGAACTGTCGATCAAACGATTAACCCATATATTGATTTAACCTAAACATTTATTTTTAATTCAAGCGAAACGCCAACCAAAATTGGCAATTTAAATTCATTTTAGTATATCTTTAATTCCGACCAAATTACCTTTGCTTAACTGCTAGGTTATACAAACTTGTGTGAACATTCAAATTCTGAATAGCAATTTTTCACTAACTCAATTTATTCCTCTCTTTTAATCGTTTCTCGCATAATTCTACCCTCTCGGCTGTTCTTATATTTATTTTTCATTTGCCCGGCTTCAGTTCGCCTTTTATATTCATTCTCGCCATTTAGTTAAGATGAGAGGATCAAACAATTTTAGTATTAGGTGAATACAGGACGAGCACAGTTCATTTAGAAGTGGATATCTTTGAATATTCTCAAATAGATTCAGCTTCAATTCAAAGGGATGTTCTTACAATTCAAACATTATTGAACAATAGCAGCATCTCATCTAGCTTGAAATTATTCGCTGATTTCCTCTTCTATTTTAACTTAAAGCTGATGGAACGTTATAAAGCCGATGAAAAGTGGAATAGGGCAATATCACGTAATTGTAGGTTAGGTAATTTGCAATGTTCTGATGGGAATGATTAAAAGTTGACTAAATATTAA